AGAGAACGAGAGAAAGAAAGAGAGAGAAGAGACTCGCCTTGCGTTCGCGACGCAGACAATGCCCTGACAATGGCCCATACACGCCGTCCCATTGTGCCATCGCACTGTACCCCATAAAATACTCATCGCCTTTTATCGTTGTTTTCGTAGCCGGCCAATGAGAGAGGCGCGCTGCTTAGCCGTGGCGGCCTAATAACCGAGCTTAGCATCCAACGGAAACACTGAATGGGAATAGTTTTTTAAGCCGCCCCACCTACCCGACGCAGTCAGTCCCTTCGATCTCCCTTTCAACCCCCTTCTCTCTCTCTCTCTCTCTTGCGCTACCCTCCCTTTCCTCTCTTGCGTTACGTGAGATTAAATCTCCTGTCTGCGGTCTCGAGAGAAACTTTGGGACGGCTCGCGTGTTGTTACAGTTGTGGGCCTTCCCCTCTTTTTTTTTTTTTGTACGCCGAGCTTAAGCAGCCCCCTCTCGGGGGCCTTGGGTTACGAGGTTACAACATATATCGCTGGTTATTCTTTTGGATTACGATCACGGATGCATTATTAACTAGATACCGCGCTACAGGTCTCCGCCTGCGTGAATAGGGGAGACGGGGACTGCTCGTTTATGGAATACACATACGATGTTTCTCCTTCTTCCGCGAACGACAGCGTGTTTGTCTTAGGATGGGCTTGGCGAATCGATCTTTCACGAGGATCCGAAACGTTTTTTCGGATCCTCCGAACGATCGATCGACCATGAAAAACAGCGCAGAATTAACTTGATATAATAATAGAGAAATTTTTACATTGTCTCTCTCTCTCTCTCTCGTACAACTCTAATTTTCGCATAACTATCTTGCATCTAATATGAAATGTGTCTGTTTGGTTTATAGGTTTACAATAATGTTTATAATATGATGTCTGAACGATATCTAAAAATTCATGTTTAAAAAGCTATGTCATATTCACATGTCGATTCCCAACGTCTGCAAACTCATTTAGCGATAACATGATGCAGTGACGCAAATACGGGTAATAAATATTTAGCTTTTCTTTTTTCTCATATTTTAAAAATATTACCTGATATATACATTTAGTGAAAATTGACAATCTCGGCGATCCTTGTCAATAATTTTACGTCAATAACTGTCGATTTTCGCTACATAATATTTAATCAGTTCACATTTGCTACTTTTGACTTTTAGTATTTGGGATCCTAATCGTCTAAATACGGTCGGTTTTTCTTTCCTCGATCCGTCATTTATATTTCAGGGCTCTTATTTAACCAGTGAGTAAAATGTGATTTTTTTTTCCACGGGAGATACGCGTATTAAAACGAGGTCCGTCGTACTCGACACACAGCCGTTATCGAAAAATATCAATAATCGTTGCGATACGCAACAAAAAACATGAGCCGCGAGTGGCGGCTCGCGAGGATGAGGGGGCGGGGAGGCCGAGG